CCAGGTCCCTCAAGGTGGCAGGAGACCATGGTGCGCTTGTCAGTTGCTGCTGCCATCACTGATGAGGGGCACTTTGCAGCTGTCACCATAGATGCTGTCAGGGCATCGTGACGCTGTTTGCGGGCATTGTTAATGAGTGCTCTCTCCCACGGATTTGCTTAACGATACGGCACAGAGCCCGCTGACAGGAGCTGAGGACCTGCCATGGGTGGAACAGGGTTTATTAAGCAGCAAGAAGGGCCTGCTGGGAAATCTCCAGGATGGGGAATTTTCTAGATGAAATAGAGGGCAAAATCCCCATTTTTCCACTCCGTGGCTCATTTGCTAGGGGATCTTTTGCAATTCCCCTCTGAGATCTCTGTAGTCTTCATCAGCCCTGGAGGATGTGGGGCTGATTTCAGTCCTGTGCTGAAACATTTGGTTGTCCAGAGAGCATCATGGCTCTGGGATGCCCTGTGACCACCTCTCGGTGTACATGTGGTGGTGGTGGCCACAGGGCTTCCCACTCCTGAGTGGCCAGTGCCGGAACCTGCAACATGCCACCTCCAGGGACACAAGTTTTGCTCACCAGTTCCTCTGCCTCCTTGGCCCCTGCAAGTTTTGCCAGCCAGGAGTGTCTCTGCAGTGCGTACCTAAAGCACATGATGGCACTGCAGGAGCGTGAAACCGCCTCAGCCTCCTCTACAACTTAACTGGATTTTTAACCCCTCTGTGGAGGTGAAGCTGCCACAAGTGCGGTGGCTTTCCAGGGACAAGGTGTGGAGGGAGGTTTTGGGGACGGTGACACCCAGTGCTCTGCTGTCCCAACTAGGGAAAAGCCTTGAGTCCAAGCTGCTGGCTGCTGCTGCAGCATCACCCCATCTCCTCGGGACCAGAGGAGACACAAGTACATGTAGTGCTGCAACAAGGGCCTGAGCATGTGTTTGTGAGCTGGCATCTTCCAAAATGCACAGTGGATGCTTTTTGCAGTGGTTCGTCACAGCTGTATGTGACAGGCTTCCTGGTCTTTGCATATCTGAGACCATTCCCTTCTCTGCATAGTCCCAAACCTTCCCCAAAGAGACCAGCTGTGCTTAGCCAGGCAGCAAGACAGGTAGATATAGGACTAATTTGGGCAGCAGTGCCTGTAAGCCAGTGTGCCCCAAATGCATCTGCCTGGGTGCACTCAGGAAAGCTGCCTGTGCCCTAGTCAAGCTCAGACCCCGTTTCCGCCACGTCGTCTGACTTTACCTCCTGAGCTCACACGGGCAGAGAGATGGTCTTCAAATACACACCACTGGTCGGAATCAAGCTCTGGTGCAGGTCTTGCATGATAATATATATCCTGCTGGCTGGCAGCTGGGTTTTGGAAGGCAGCAAGCAGATTTGTTAGTTTGCTGGTTCCTGAAGTTACCGATCCTCTATCCAAAAACCAGAGAGAGCTGTAGACACGAACAGGAAGGCTGCAACAGCATTTCCATATAGCACATGCTTTTTCCTGAAATAATCCCTGCAGGAGAAAAACTCTGTAAAAATATCTGGATGTGACAATCCTGGCATTTATCTGTTCTTATCTACAAAGAACTGAAGAGGTATAAACCCAGCAAGTTCTGCCCAAATTATTGCCAGATCCTGTAGGTATCAAAAACAGTGTGATCCTCTTCATAGAGGTTGTCTTGAATTATCTAGTGAACGCAAGGTGGATGGCTCTTTTTTTCATCCTCCTGTTGTCCCTGTAGGAAAAAGTTCTCTCTAGGACTTTTCCATAAGCAACAAGACATATATCCAGGACAGAAAGCACAGAATCAGGAGAGGAGAGAAGAATAACCTCTGCCAAGAGAGAAGGACAGAGGGGGTCTGGTTCCTGTAGCTCTTGTCCGTCTCTATGGAGCACTCTTTGCTTGATATCTCCCTGTTGTAAATGCAGACGATTGATTTTCTTTCTGTTTCTTCTTTTTCACTTGTTTATTTTAATAAAGATGGATTATTTTTTTTGAAACCTAAAGCAAAATGTTCCAGTGTCTCCTCCCACCCTCCTGGCACTAAGCACTGATGGTTATTTCAGTGGTTATAATTTGATTTCTGCCTCTCCTGCTGGGCTGATGTGAGAGAAACAATATTTAGAGAAGTTGATTTTTAATTTATTTTTTTTTGTTTTCTGGAGCAGGGGAGGCAGAGGGTGGGAGTGGTGTGGGAAGAGGGAAAGAGAATCAGCAAGAATCCACTCTCATTTTCTAGGCCATTTTTTTTTTTCAAGTTTGCAATCTCTGATGGACAAAAATCACAGTATAGCTCAACTAATCGATTGCTCTCTGAAGAATGGAGAGTGCCTCATCTCTTTAGATATTTTTGTTATTCTTGGTTTGCTGCAGGGACTCATCGTAGCTACTCTATGACAATGATTTTAGGTTTGTAGCCTAAACTGTGATAACCTCAATTTTGCAAGTGGGGAAACTGAGTCACAGAGTAGTAAATTATCGCTTTCCTCTTCAGATCACCTGTGCAGCCAGGAACAGCATACTGCACAGGCACTAAGGGCTGATTTCCAAACCCAGGATATAGTCAACATGGGCAACCTAGACCACACCTGCAGCAGCATTCAGCTCCCAATTAACCTTAGACAAAACAAGATTTTCACTAGTGCTTAGCAGCCAGCCCTTCTTCAGTGAGAATACCGAGTAGCAGATTTTCAAAAGACTTCAGCTGCTCCTCAGCTCTTGGAGTTTCTTAGGGAAAAGCTCCTGCATTTTTCTAAGAGGAATATTTTTTTCTTGGCCAAAAATCTGACCCTTCATTTCTAGGCACACAATTTAAATCCCATTCATCACTTTTTTCTAGTTTTTTTTTTTTTTTTTTTTAAGGAATAGCATCCCTCTTTTCCCTTTTTTCTTTGATTTTCCTGGCTTCTAGGAACAGGGCTAGTGATTTCTACTGTGCATATCTGAAGATAATAGCTTTGCTAAATAATTTTTCCTCTTTTAAAATATATATCAAGATTGCCTGCTGCATAGTTTACATTTCCTGCTGTGGAGACAAATACTTTAATTAAAATGGAAGAGAGGAAAAAAAAAAATCACACAGAAAAAGAAAAAGCCTCTGTGAAAAGAATCCTAAAAGGCTTGCAAAGAGTTGAAATGGGCAGCTGAAGCTCTTTGGTAGCCAGGAAGCATTTTGCATATATGCACGCAGGCTTTTGGGACTATTTTGCTCAATGCAATAAGGGAGGTGCTAGTGAAAGCCCTGACCGAGTGAAGAAACCCAGTTGCATTTCTGTCAAGCAAGAGGAGGGCTATTCTCAGACTGCTTGTCCTCCACCTCCTACAGCTCCTGCTCCAGACTGGGTGCAGGACAGATGGAATGGATTGGTTCCAGATGATCTTGTCTTGAGAATAAGAAGGAAACAGGATCTTCTACCTACCTTGTCCCTGCCTCTTTCCTTCACTTAAGAGCAAAATGTTAAATTAATCCCCTGTGGTTGCTGTATTTGATTATGGAACTCCTTGTACCTGCTCTCCCTCCCTTGGTTTTAGCTTGCCCCTAGGGAAAGCACAGTAGCAGTAGACAGCAAGAAACTCCTAAATGTATCAGGCTGATACTAACTCCAGGGACAGATGAGAGGGATGGGAAGTTGCAAGTACAGAATTGATGCTCAGAACTAAAGATTTTCTCTCTAAGTCTAGAAAACATTGCATCTAGTTTTGACTGCAAAGTTTGACAGAGCAAGAGAAAGGGAGACCCCGTTTATGAGTGAGAGTGCAGTGTGAGTCTGCAAGGCTTACCTGCAGGAAAAATGGTAGAACCCTTTCCTTGTATTTTCAAGCAGAGGAAGCAGCCTGTGGAGTGTACTCACTCAACCCACTCCCATGCCCACAGTAAGTCCACAGCCAGAAGAGATGGGCTGTCTATAACCTTGTCTTAAGATCTTTTTAGGAAACACTCCCCATACCCTTCCCCTAAAGTACATCCATTGACCCAGAAAAACACCCTGCCTTCCCAAAGCATACCAGGCTACCAGGGCTTCCCATTGAAGGCCAGCCCTGAGGCACTGCAGGTACTGCCCGCAGCTGGTGGATCCCTGGAGCTCCTTGGCATGGCCACGGGGAGCAGCAGCTGCCAGCCCTGGGTTTCAGAGGGCAGTGAGCAGGAGGATCTGCTTGGATGGATTAATCTGCCTTGCAAAGGCCTTTTTCCAGGCCAGGGTATAGGGGAAAGAGGGTGGATTGGGAGTATCACACTATGCTTCCCCCTGCTAAACTGGGATTTGTATGAAGCTCATTGAAGATAATTAGATGATCACCATCAGATGGGTAATCTGAGCTCTCACTTTCTGCACGATCCTTCTAAGACAGGAGCGCATTATTCCTGTTTTTCACCAGCCTGAACCAGCAATTGTCTCTTGGAGCTGTGATGCTGTACCTATATAATTAAGGCTGTCAGTCAAACTCAGACACCTAAACACTACAAACTCCATGGCTTGCTAGGACTGATCACAGGACTTTATTCTCGGCAGTCAAAGCAGCACTTTGCAGGCTCTCTTTTCCCTTGTTGGAGGAACAAACTGTGGGGTTGTGAGAAGGAAACGTCCCTGAGAAAGTGGGTAGGTGCCTCCAGTGCTTATTGGATATGCTAGCTGTGACCATGAGTTCTGTGCAGGTGGTGGGATGAGCTGCACTGATCCTGATCACTGTTTCTGGTTCAGAGCCTGCTTCTGGGGCTCAGGGTATGAGGGAGTTTGAGTGCTTATCTACTGCCTCGACTGGCCGGAGCACCCAGCAGCACAGTGAGAGAAGGGCTTGACCCAACACAGCCACTCTCCATCGTGCACGGGGGTCTTGTGGGGTAGCAGACAGAGCATGGGGATGGACCAATGCTGTAGGGACAGAGGCATGGCATCAGAAAGTCTAAGTTTGTGGGATGGGTGCTCAGCCTGCTTGTTTCTGCAAAAGTGCCGGGTGAAAGTTTGTCAGCCCTGTTTTTTTATTGGTGCTGTCTCCACTGCTTTGCAGGATGTGCATGGAGACAGCATGAATGCCAGATCTATAGCAGGAAGACTCTTCTTTGCTTTCTTCCAGTGGAAAAAGTTGGTCATCTGGCTCTGTGTAGGTAAGAAAACCTTGGTGCATGCTGAGCCCTGCTCTCTCCCAGCCAGCATTCACTGCTGTGTCCCCCCGCCTTAGGGTCTTGCTGAGCTGGGGCTCTACAGAAGGAGGGGACCTGCCTGGCCACTGAGGTCTTCACTTGGAGATACCCCAAAATGGGAGGTGACAGAAAAGGGGACGTGTTTTGGTAAATCAGATACACGCAGCCCTAGGTGTCCCCACAGACTGAGATGGAGAGGACTTACATGGGCATCAGCAAGGGAAACGCAGCCTCTAGTCACAGTGTTCTCTCTTAACTGCACATTGATTACTCCAGCAGTTGTGTTTCCCAAAAGTTGATCCCCCTTCTGCAAATCATCCTGCCACATGCAGTTCTTTTGTGCACAGGCTTTGCACTCACATTTGTCACTAGCAAAGCTGGGCTTCTCCATAGAGGCTTTAACTGTGCCTGTTTTGGGTGTATTTTTAGAAAATCAAGTCATGTTGGATGTCTTTGGGGGTGTGGAGAGTAGAGAAGCATCTAAAAGGTGACTTGTTTTCCAAAGTGTAAAAATATTTTTGTTGTTTTGCACAATTGTAAAGTGAATTTTCTCCTATGCCCACCCAATATGCTGCCTGCAGCAAGGGCAAATGAGGAATAACTTCCTTCAAAAGCGTTAATATTTGCAAACACCCATGGAAGACCTGCATCCTGTGTGATATGCGTGCACAGGGCTGTGGGAGGTTAGAGCAGGGTGAATGTGCTTCTGTGATACACAGATTAAATTCCTGTGTGTGTGTGTGAGGTCTAGCAGTCACCCTCTGATAAATGCTGCTGCGATCTTTGCAGGATTAGGGTCCAGAGGTGGATGTTCACCTGTGTTGTGTATAGCAGCCCAGAAGTAATCAGCTGATGAAAGCCTCTCTCTGGTGTGTGTAGGAGGTCCAGGAGAAACCTGCTGATGCAGTGTCTGTATGAGTATATACAACTGCTTGTGATCTCCCTCCAAGAGTAAAAGAAACTCAATTCTAATTTCATACTGCCATTGAAAGGCTGGTTATTTGTCACAGAAAAAGTCACTGCTGCTTAATGACCAAGATGTGACCAGTGTCATTTTATTTATATGGGTACAAATGATGGAGGACTTTTTCCTTTCTGCACCCACAGGCCCAGATTCACCCGTGTGGAGCAGGGCACTTGGGGTGAGCTGAGCTTGTACTCTAAACCAGCACAGCACCTTGATCAAGGCAAAGAGCTGCTCAGACAAGCTATTGTCCATGTTACAGAACTGCTTTTGCCTAATCTTTTCTCTGGCATGAACCTCTTGATTTCAGCCTGGGAGGATTTCTCCTGCATGTACATTTTTTTTCTTATTGCCATGAGCCTTTTCTGAGGTCCTCTGGGATCTGTACCCAAGAACCACAGCGTGGGTTGCAGCTGCATCCTACTGCCTGTCTGTGGGATAATGGATCACTATGTGCAACAGGGGCTGTTTGATGGCCTTCATGGTCCCCTGCCCCTGTGATATCCCCAGGAACAGCCGGCTGACGGCTATGCAGAGAAAGGAGAGAGGCAGCCCACGCTGTTAATGTGGGACTCCATGGCTCACCCCAGCAGTGGGCACAGCCAGGAGGGCTGCGGGTGCCAGGGAAGGGGAGCCAGGCTTTGGGGCCAGGCCAGCCTCACGGGGAGCATGTCAAAGGGTCGAGGGCTTGACCGGCTCAGGGACTGCCATGGCCAATCCCCTCCCCTCTCTGCATTGTCCCCGTGTCATTTTACAGATTAATGTGAGTGATTGCTGGAGTGCTGTGAGACTTGAGCTTGCAAGCAAGTTCCCTTAGCTGCTGGGAAAAGGATGAGGCATTTGCTAGGGTTCGTTACCAGCAGGCCCCGTTTAGTTTTGTCTAGCAAGGGGCTCACTCAAATACAGCCACTTGGAGGCTCCAAACTCTGAAACAGGGTCTGCTTGTCTGCAGCTCTGATGGCTGCAGGGGCTTGGGAGGTGCTGGCAGTGGGGAGAGGTCCTGCGGGCTGCAGAGTGGGGTGGTCCCAGCTGCAGTGCTGCGGCCGGGCAGCTGCTACGTCTGTGTCAGCCTCTCCATTGCCTTCTGCAGGTCTGTGCGTGCAGAGCCTGTGCTACTCTGTGACGAACTCGCATGAAAGTCACATTGAGTAAGTTACCTTTCCTTCTTCCCTTTTCTGACCTCAGTGCTACCGTGGTCTGGGTTAGAGGTGGGGCACAATTCATTTTTATGGAAAAAAGAGGCAACCACCGTCCCAGGATAAGACTTGGGTGAGAAACAGCTCACCCAATAATATAAAACCCTGGAAACTTGAAGGGCAGTCTGGCAGTGACTTGAAGGCAGGGCAGACAGAAAAGCAGCAGGACAAAGCAGCATTGGTGAGCCTAGACATGTCTTTGCTAGACTCCAGCAGAGATTCCCTGGTGTTGATGGTCACTTCCAGAGTGCATTGTGGACATCCCACAGTGCTGTTCATTGCCTGTCTCTATTTGGAGACAGGCTTACCTGAGGCCAAGGATTTTCTAAAATTCAAGTTGTTCAAGGTCCTGAACAGCTTGACATAACTTTTGCATTAGGTCTCCATCTGTTTCCACCTAAATTCTTCTGTGTAAAGGAGCCTTTTATGTGCTTGAGCTGGCGGGTGGCAGGGGGTGGGGGGGTGGGGGCTGGTTCTTCATAGGACTGAAGTGGTCAGTAGCTGGGAGACTGGACAACATGGTCATGAGCTGAAAATCCTACATTTGTAGACCTCTTTGAGAAACCTCCCGAACTATCACTAATTCTCAGGCCACAATCTGAAAGCCTTTAGGAAGGGCTAGTAGGAAATGAACCTTGTTTCTTTTACAGGAAGCATCTTGGTGCTTGCCAGAGAAGGTTTGTGTGGAGAAAGCCTTTTCTTGGAAGGTTTGTTAGCGATGTCTCATTTGTTTGGGGAATTTTGTTGAGAGAGGAATCAGTGTCTCAGTGTCTGCTGATGGGTGGATACTGGCAGCCTGGGGTATATGTGCAGATATGCAGGAAGGGAAATAGATCTAATTTAATCTAACTTGTGCAATGACATCTTGACACTGTTACAAGTGAGTCAACAGGCCGGCAGAATGATGTGATATAGATGCATGTGTAAAATGTCCTCTGAAGGACAATTAGAGAGGAAAAGATGCACTGTTGAACTGATCAATGTTCAGTGCAGCTTTGTCATGGGTGTCATGAGTTTTGTCATGAAATGAATTAATAAATGAAACTGGAAATGTAACTGGAATTCTGCCCCTCTCTCTTGTGGATAAACATTGGGGAACACTTATTCATCCTTTCAAACATGTAGAGAAGAAACATGATGGAAAAAGGAGAGGAACCGGGGGGCCAGAACTGGAGGGAAATGAGATTTTGATGTCACTGCTGCTGTCACGGGATTGGAAACAGCAGTAAGGACTGTATTTAAAAGATGTGGGTCATTTCTGGGAACTACTTCAGGATAGCTCAGTAGCTTTCCAAAGCACTTCATTATGCAGCCTACTTCAGCTGCCCTAGTCCTTGTGTCTGATACTGCTGTGACTGCTCCACTCATCCCTAAACTGCTGCCTCTCTGAATCTCTTTTGGTAGGTTTGAATCTCACCGGAAGCCTTTCCTGACCAGCAAATCCTTATACTCGCTCGTGGACAGACCTTTTAAAAGAGAGATTGAACAAGTTCTGTGGTTCCATAAACTGCCTTTCGGGCTGCAGAGCTCTGGTATTGCAATGCTCTTCCCCCAGCATTGTCATGTCTTGGACAGACACTGCAGCTGGAGAGCTTTCACCTTATGGGGCAGCCTTGAATGCTGTAGAGGAGATGGAAAAACAGGTGGGCACCAGAGTGCACCAGAGGAAATCTGGACCGACTGGATGGTGTGCCCTTGAGAAAAGGTCATAGGCCATGATGGTGGTGATGCAGGAAGAGGGCAGTGCTTTAACTCCAGGCTCTAGTTGTGCCAGGAGGTATGGAAAGGGGAAGGCTGACAGCAGTGCTCTTGTGGATGGAGCAGGAACCATTGTGGAACTTATGAAATGCCAATGGGGAGAAGACACTGAGTGGGTCAGTGCCTTTGCCATTTTTCAGTGTGAGGTACTACAGATCAGCTTCAGTTGCTAGTAGTGATGGTCATAAAGTGCATGCCTCTTATGTGGAAAAATGCCTCAGTTTGGACAGAGTTGGGCAGATGGATGTGACAAGAGTGGGGTTGGAGCAGGCTCTCCCATGTAAAATGTCCTGGTACATTACAAAAGTATGAAAACTATCTCCTTAGAGCAGCAGAAGAAGGAAAGTTGGCTCATTGGAAGTGGTGGGGCCATGTTTCTTCCCTGAAGATGACTCTTCAACTTTTTATCTTCCAGTTCTCTCTGCCTATACCACGTTGCAGCTTCTTCCTCAGCAGGAGTTGCCTGGATCCTTTGCCCGGTACGAGGCTGGGCTGGAGATGGGTGTTGGGGCAGCAGGCGTGTGAGGGAAGTGATAGTTGGGTTGGGAGCCCTGGTTTCTGCAGCAACTCGAAGTTCTCTCTCTTAGTGCTCAACTTCACAGCTCTCTCTGCCTCTCAGTCCCGTCACTGTTCATCTCCTCTCTCAGTAGGTTTCTCTTTCTCTCCCTTTTAAACATGCCCTTTTAAGCAGCTCTCGTACTGATAAACTTAAGCTACTAGATCGCAGCTCCCTCCTTTTACCTTCTGTCATACTCTGATCTCTGTTCTCAATATTGCCCCGTCCCATCTATTTTCTCTTGCTCTAACTCCATCCCAAGTGTGACAGCCCAGGGCTTGGAAAGTTGGGTGCCTCCCTCAGTTCTGCCTGCATGTATTCAGAGAAAGCAGAAAGTGAAGTAGACTGTGGCAGCTGTTGGCAAACACTTTCATTTGGGCCCTTCCTCTTTTCCCTAATTCATTAGAGGAATTATTCTGTGGCCTGTCATTCTTCCTCTCTACAATACACTACACTCCTTAAGCAGAGGTTCACCCTACTAGTTATGGGTCTGCTAGGTATCCACACTTGACTTTCTCTCCATTCCTTTAGTGTCTTGTGTCCTCTGGCTAACTAGAGATCCCTCATGATTTTACTGGTGTGTTGATGGCACCGCATTGCCTTGTGGTCAATAAAATAAGTCCCATCTATCTAAGATACAGTTGGAGTCCTACTAGTCAGGCCTTCCGTCCTCTGATGCCACCCCAGGAGTTATATGTGAACATCAAAGAGACCCTCAGGAATTCTGGTCTAACCTGGTGGAGACACTTGTGAGAGAAGGACTTAACCTCTTGCAATCTATTCTTTTGCCAATTTATGGTGCCAAAGGTGCATTGTGGTCGGCAATGGTTACTCCGTCCATGGCCAACACTTTGGGAAAATGATTGACTCTCACCATGTTATCATAAGGTACTGAATCCTCACTAAAGCCTTAACAATTAAGCAGAGACTGAGGAGTGATAATACGCCCATGACTTTCTTGCCTGGCAAATATAACATCTAGGATACGTCAGCTCAGGTAATCAAATAATGTTCTTGAAGTTCATGGCCAAGCACAGGCACTGCAGGAGCCAGAATTTGTACCACTCATTCACAGATGCTGTCCTGGGGAGTTGGATAACCATCTCCAGCACAGTGGAGTGGCAGGCAATCTCAGTGTTACAGGACTACATGCATTTTTACTATGACTTGAGAAAGTAATTTAATTTCTCTGTGCCTCACTTCCCTATCTGAAAAATAGTGGTTGTCTGCCACTACTGTCTGCCTTTTTATTACAAGGGAGGAACTATTGGTGTGTCTGTGTGAGGTACCCCATACCATGGAACCAGGCTGCCAGCTTGGGCCACGTGTGTCAGTGCCCTCAAGTGAGTTCATACAGCCAGTCATGTATCCGACAGCACACAGCTGCCTCCATGGTTGGGGACAAGTGATACTGAAACTGGACAAATTCTGGCTTTGATTCTCAGGTTAAATGATGCTCCAGTAAAAGAACACAAAAAAGATGTGGGTGAGAGAACCAACGTCTGTCTATTCTTCCCTGAATCAGCTCTGCCCAACCTTCTGGAAAACAATGACAATGATACACTGATGGTGTTTGTCCCATTCAAGCCCCTGGACTTCCTCTGGCTGAGAGAAGTGTTACTGAAAACAAGGAATAAGGTGAGAAGTCTTTAAAGAGGGAAGGTTGAAACCAGGTTATTTGTAGTGACATATTCAGTAGCTCTAATAATCATGTATCTTTCAAATATTTAATGAGATGCATAATACACCTGAGACCTTATTTTTCACTAATTAGAAAGACCCCAGTCTCAGCCACATTGGAGACAGGTGTATGGGAATAAGTGGAAAACGCCAGGAGATCCTTTGTTCCTCTGAACTCTCCTGAGTCCTGTGCACCCAGCCAGAGCAGTAAACCACAGCTAACTCAGGGGTCTTTATCATGGCACTGTCTGATGCCCATGGGCATGCCTCAAGCATCTCTCTGCCTTTCTTCCACAGACGAAGGTGGGGTTTTGGCGCCAGCCCCCCGGGAGTGGAACGGGAATGTCTCCCAGCTACGTATTCTCAACCCGTATGTCACCTATGAAGCAACGTACAAACTGCTGCAGCTGGATGAGTCAAGTAGGGTATGATACTGCACTGGAGGGCAGACAGATGAGCATCAGTGTCCTGTGTCTTCCCTTATACCTTACTGCTTCAGTAAGGGGAAGGAAAACCTTTTCATTAGATTAACTAGTCCATTCCTCTAGTAAATGCAGTCTTTTCCTATAGCATGGTACTTCAGGTTTAGAGCCCTGATCCTACCCAGAAAGGAATAATTTTCCCTGCTGCACTGCACTGTTATTCTCATTCCAGTCTGCTCCATCACTCCTGGCCATTTCGCATTCAAATCTCTTTTTAGAGTTGTATTTCTGTCCCTAGTTCTAGACCTCAGAAAACCTGGTTTTCTAGTGATGAGCAGCTGTCCATATAAGCCATTTCATGTGTTCCTGGGATTTCTCTATCTGAAGACCATTAATGATAATTATCTAGTGTAAAATGGGAGGAATTTTGTTTGGCATTCCTTAAAACACACTGTTCTCACAGATTTCTGGCCTGAGGCTGGCCGGTAATGCCCACTGCTGCTGGAGCGCAGTTTTCCCCTTCGCTGCATGATGGAGAATTATTTCATTAATGAATCTAATGATACTTTGTCTTTGGTCCTGACAATCTTTGTGATGGTGCTGTCCAATCTTTAATTAACTTTAAGCCTGCCAGGCACTACTAGGATGTTTATAATCTGCAATAAATGCAGGAGAAGCTTGAAGGCTTGGTGTGGTAAATAACCTTGTCCAAGGTCATGCACTGACTTTTGTCTGGCATTGAGATTAGATGCCAAGTCTCCTGACTGCTGAAGCAAAGTTGTAAAAAACAGTACATTTCTCTGCTAAAATGTTTGGAAAGCGTAAAGTGGGACAATCTAGGCGAGGAGTGTGAAGTGCTTGGGGGACTAGAGAGCATGTTCAACTGCTCGCGAGCATGGTGGCTGTGCTGCTCAGTCACAAAGCTTTTAAGGCAGCATTTGAATTTGTACTTGGCCGTGTTAGCTTTACGTGAGCCGAAGGCAGTTTTGTAGCACACAGGACAGGGACAGGAATTTAATGCGTGGATTAAAAGTGAGGTATCACACGAAGGCTGCCAGCAGGGAATACACACACAGAGGCATGTGGAAAAGGAAGAGATGCAGAGACCTTGTATAGGCTCTGTCATGGATGTGGATTTGTTAGAAAGTGTGTTGATTTCTTCCATTCATAGCTTTTTGATTTCCATGGAGCTCTATGTTTTACCAACCCAGAGGTTTTGTGTTCATGAGCCGTCACCTTCTGCAGCACCTTTTCATAAGATGTTCTTTGCTTGAGTTTTGGGAGTGCTGTCCATGCACCTATCCTGTTTTATTTACATATTTTTTTGCTGTATAGAGTGTGGAAGAAGCTACTGGTCCCAGCTACAAAGGTGTTGCTGGTGTCAGTATTGTAAAAGCATGAGTTTGGAATCCTAAACAGGTGTTCTCTCTTTTCCCTTCCCAGAGATACGCCACCATGGGAATCATTGCGTTGAACTTAGCCCTCCATATGTGCCAAGAGGTCAATATTGCAGGCTTTGGTTACCCTGGCAACCATGACAATACTATGCCAATACATTATTACAATATGGGTCACTCACGGAAAGAAGAGGTAGAAATTGCCTCCCCTTCAAACTAAGGTGTTCTCCATAGGAAAACCTACCAGTCAAAGCTGGGAGTCAAGCAGCTGTGAGGTCTGGTAGCTATTGCCGGCGTTAGCCATGGAAATTCCTGCTGGGACAGGCGAGGGGAATATGTTGGCACATGCTGTATTCTCAGAGAGCAGCTTGGGCACAGATGCTGGCACCTTCAAGGTGACTTTCATCTGTCCTAGTTTGGTGATGAGAGTCCTGTGTAGTGGAAGTCCTGCAAGTGGCTGCAGGCAAAGTTGGGTTGGGCAGGATCCAGTGCATTCTCAGCAGGATGAGGGGCACTGTAAGGAATGATCTATAACTTTGCCTCTATTGTCCCTGCAGCTTTTTCAGCACAATATCACTGCTGAGAGGAACTGGCTGCAGAAAATGATTGACTGGGGCGTGATTGGTGACATAGCTAGCCCTTCCTTCCAGGCCCAGAACTGCTGAGAGGGGACTGTGCTGCTTGCTGTCCCCTCCAGACACCACTGATGATCCCAGCTGGGCTTTACCCTTGTTCCAGGTTGGTTTGAGCAGGTCACAGTTTGTCCTGTTACATGTGGGGTGGGAGATGAATCCTTGAGATTCAGGGCACTTGCCTTTTCCTTTGTTGGCCTCTGGGTTCCACTGCTGACTGCTGTGGTGCAGGGTGGAGCGTTTCACAACCCTTCTGCCTTGGGTAATCCTCTCCTGTTCTGTCAAAAGCCATCCTGTGCTCATCAATTATTTGTGAAAAGCACCAAACTGAGATGCTAAACTGGTCCTCAGCCCTTGAGAAAGGGAGGGGGTGAGGGTGCAATACCCGCCATGGGATTTCAAACTCCTTCCTAAGCAGATTGGAGTGAGAGACAGTCATACCCATCACTTTGGAAAAGGGCCAGGTTGAACAGTCAGAGATTTCAGTGTCTTTCTAATTGCTGGGAAACATTAATGTCTGCATGAAACAAGAAATGTTTTTTTCAATTGTTCTGTTTAAGAATAAATGCACTTCTGGTTTCATGAAGTTAGCACTGCCTTGTGGGAGGGGGATTTCTGGTCAGAACAGATGAGAATTACCTTAGTATCTCCTCTAAGATCTTCTTAGGGCTTTATGATCCCATGTAATCGCTCTCCCCTCCCCTCCTTTTTTTTTTTTTTTTCCTCAGCATGCTGTCCAGAGCTTTCCATGACTCTTCCAGCTTGTTCTAATCATGGAGCCACCCTGCCAAGTCTACTTTGTGTGCTGAAGACCTTTCACATTTAAGAAGCCACCTTAAATCCCCACTTATCTGTGGCTCGCTCATGTCCACATTCCACCTCTGGGGCCACATCTTCACATCCTCTACTGCTTCCCTCCAGGCTGCAGCTGTGTCATATTTCCCCTCCTTTACTCCCTCACTGATACTTTCTTCCTAGCCTGTTATCATCATGGGTTCACCTCAGTTGCTACCTCACCAAACTGCTGCCTCCACCAGCAAAAAGAACCTACAATGATGAATTTACAAGCTGATGACTACGCTGATGACCACTGAGCTGCAGCCTCTTCAGCCAGGTGCTGGTTGGGAAGAAGGCTCCTCCTGTATAGCTATTAGAGGGCAAACTCTAAGAGTGGGTTTGGCTTAACATACATCAGGCCACATGTGTTTTACAGAGGCAGCATTTGGGGCGTGGGAGCTTTAGTACAGCACCCATGTAACTACTAACTGGTTCCACAGGAGGTGAAACTTCTGCTTTTTTCCCTCCCATTCCCTTCCTCCCTCCCCTTCACTGTGGTCAGGCTTTCAGGGCACTTCCTGAGCTATTTGTGTCACTCCTTTTCCTGTGTAACTTCTCTTTCAGTATCTCAGCCCTGCCTCCTATAAGCTTTCTGTAACACCCTGTCTCTCATGATCTGCAAAATCTTAATACCCTTCGTGTTGCTCCTACTGCTATTCCCTTTTTGCCAGCCTAGTTCCTCCTCCATTAGAACTGAAATGGTTTTGTCCTGGTTGGTGCATGCAATTCATGGCCAAAGAAATGCTGACAAAACTCCTCCAAAGCTGCCTTGTCCTGGGAGACTGGTGGAAGAACTGGAGGCCCTGGTCCAGCTCAGTTTGAGAAAGGTCATTGGAAGGCTGAAAGGGGATGACCTAATCTTGCACATGCAAACAGAACTAAACTGATCTTGGGAGAAAAAAGCTGTTTCAATAAATTCCTCTTTATCAGCTAAACACTGGCTTCAGGTTTTACTCAGTACACAAGTAAGTCTTTATTCTCTAAATAACACATAATAGCCATGCAGGTTTTGCAGATTAAAAAAATACGGTGGTCCAAAATCATGTAAATATGCGTTTGGGTCTGGATTGAACACTCTTTTGTAATTTATTGCTTTGTAAGTAACAGAAGTGGGCTCTCAACTATGTGGACAATTAATATTCTATGTTCTTCTCTTGGTAGAGTAAAATGGTATAAAAATCTTAATGTCTAAAAGCTGATGTATAAAGCTTGCTATGAACCAACCTCAGGAGATAGTTTACATTTTCTCTCTAGGTGATGTGTATACAAGAACTTCTCCAGGGCTTGCAGGAGCTGCGTCTGCACTTTCTGCCACAGTTGTTGCAACATTTTCCTGTCATGTTGTGTCAAGTCATGGTAGTGAAATCATAAACATGAGGCTCAAGTGTCTTAGTGTTGGTCAATGCCTCTGGCAGTGCTCTCAGTACTTGCAGCAAGCAGGTCTGCTACACAGCTTTTTGATCTTAAGATCTGGCTGGTTTTCCCTCAATACAGGGATCTGTAATCTCTCCAGATAACCACAATTCATTAGAGCTGGCTCTTGTTCCAAACTTCCCCAGACTGTAGAAGCAATGCAGGAGAGGCTTACTATATAATCATGCTTTGGTGGTGGCACTGAATCACCAAATCAACCTTTCTTGTGTCCAGTTTAAAAAGTCTGAGATCTGCAATTCTCCATGCCCTACACACCTTTTGTGTTTGATAGTCTGAATAAATCCTTGCCCTACAGCAGACTCATTATCAAGAGAACTGGGGGAAAGGAGGAGGAATAAGTAGGATAAGGCAAAGCCACAGTAATACAAAACATATGTAAATTAGGCTACGAGATACCATAATAAGGATGTAATGGAGGGGGAAAGAAAAAGAAAATTAGTCCTATTGTTGCTTCAGTAGAAAAAGCTAGCATCAGACTGAGGTGGTAAATCCACCTTTCTCTGGGCTGTGGAATGGCAGTTATACTCCTCATAAGCAGAGTGCATTTCATGCCAAGGCACTGCCAACATCCTCGCGTCGATGGCCACAGCGAAGCCCCGGCTCTGTGGCCAGCCGAGGGGTAGCCGTGGTTCATCTGAGGCAGAAGGGCAGGGAGCTGGTGGGCAGTTTGTGCCAGCCTGCCTCTCTCCAGGGGTCAAGGGAGCTCCCCCGTCACTCACTGCCTGTCCACGAATGCTTGGCAAGTGAGTCTGGATGTGTCCACCATCTGTGTGAAATCCTTCCAACCATTTAGATTAAACACTGACTTCAGTAAGATGTGGGGCTCCTAACTGACCTGACATGGTCCATATGGAGTAGCTGCCACAGATAGTGACTATCTTGACACTGATTAATCACTTCTTCTAGTTGTGTATTTGTCCCTGGTTACTTGACACAGTTCTTCCCTAATAGCTTTTGAATAGTTCTGGGGTATTCATATAACCCTGGCTTTGGGGAATAGCCCATCTGATGGCACACATTACCTACTTCAGCGTAGGCTTGGCTGCTTTTCATCAAACTAACTTGGACCCTAGCTTTTTTTTTTGTTTGTTTGTTTTTGTTTTTTTTCCTGTGTACACCAGTATCTGTTCTTTTCTGCAACAGGAAACACCTTAGCTATGCTGGATTCTGTTGGGTTTAGGTGGCACATTTTGCAACGGGTTGGGGTTTGGTCTGTGCTATATGGCATGTAGAGACTGTCTGTGATTCCACCTCCATGTCCTTACCCATCACTTACAGTCACAGGCATGACAAGCAATCTGCATTACTGATGCTCCTTGCTTTGAAACCAGCAGTTAAATGATCTGTAACTGGAGTCAATCACTGCTCAGACAGACAGCAGCAAAGCTGTCTAACACCCCAAACTAAACGCAGAGTTTCTCTCTCAGTCTGAACGTTGTTCTTTTCTTCAGAGATATGAGATCCAGAAGCAAAGGCAATAGGTCTTCCAGGCTGATCTTCCATCAAGTGTGAGATTATTACACCCACTTCATATGGGGAAGCATCACAAGTGAGAGTTATAGGCATCAAGGCACTCTGATTCTGATGATACAATTTTCTCATCTCCATCACCAACCGTGGTGCAGGGTACATGTGGTTCAGCGCTGTCTCTATCCAGTGTCTGCCAGGTCAGCCAGGGGTTGCTGTGTGAGGCGGTGACTCACCAGTTCCAGGATGCAATGTATTTGTGGAATTTGCAGTGAAAGGATCTTAGATCCATTTTCAGAATTTTTTTTTCCCCCATTTTTCCTTGTGATTTATATACATTTTTTTTCCCAATTTCCTTTGCTTTTCCTATCCACTCAGGCATCCTTTCAGACTTGGACAGGTGATTGACTTGCTGAGCACGAGGATTGGCAATGTGTCAGCTGAACCTCAAGGACTCAGTACCAGTTACACACCCTGAGCCTGGACCCCAGCTGCAACATGATGTGATTTGAGCTTAATTCACCACAGGTGATCGCTCAACTGAGTTCTATTAGCTGACACTGTCCTAGTTAGGAAGGCACATATGGCCAGTGCTGCAACCCATCTGAGAGTAATACTGGGTCAGCTGGTGTAGCCTGGCCACATGCCTGAGCTTCCCAAGTACTTTTGGAAGTTCTTGTGGTGCTCCCTGTCTCTAGCTCCACAAATACTGTGTTGTGTAAGTGCCAGCATCTCAGGAATGCTCTCTCCCATCTGATCCATGAGTCACAACCAAATAGTTGTTACATATGGTCCTTTCACTTAAAATAAGACCTGGTTTGTTTAATCTTGAAATAGTTCTTACCGTGTTCCTCAGCCTCCATTTGCAGATAGACTTGGGAACTGCTTAGGATGACTAGTGAGGAAAACATACCTCCTCTTCTGGGTAATATCTGTTGATCGACATGTAATACTGGGTTACCTGTGGCCTTGAAATCATCATGGATACAGTCAGACCTTTCAGTTTTCACAGCTATCTTGTCTTGTACAAGAGTTCAGGTAGCTTTTCTCTTTGGCTGGAGTTCACAAATTAATTTCTTTTAATATAAGAAAGTACAAGATGTTTTGTCAGGTGAGCTACATTGTGGCCAGTTTATGTGATGTAATACCTTGCTTGAGATCACAGAGGTTGAGTATATGCTGTCTGTTGTTGTGTTACTGATATTATAATAATGTTCAGGAGAACTAAGTTTTGGGCATGTGTTTTTAGACACACAGATTTTCTGTAACACCTCCTTTCTAAAAGATCTTTGATG